CCCAGCATCGTTTATCTTTTATAATACTTGGTTCTTTGATAATAATGTTACACTTCCTGAGCTAAACACTGATGCTGCAAGTAAAAAATGTCCTAAAAAGTCTTGGCCACGTTATTTAACTTTCACTCAACAAACTGCTGATCCTGAAGCCGAGCACAAAAATTTTTGGTTTCACAAAATAATTATTAAAGTTGAAGCAGTGAATGCAGCCTGGTATCACTATACTCTATCTGTAAAGGAAGGTTATAGTAAAGGTTACTATGTTCCAGCAAATTATGGTCTATTGCATCATTATCGTGTACCATCAAAAGCTCCTAAACATATCGAGAAAAAGTCTACATTTGTCATGAGTAAATACTTCGATGACACTATGAAACATTATTTATCAAAATGTTAGTAAAATAATGCATCAATTGAATTATTCATCATCTTAATAAATTGGGCTTTTGTCTTTCAAAATAAATTAATAATGACACACTCTGTTTAATTACCTACCATCTGGCAGGGGTCCTGGGCATCCTCCAATATTACTGACTGCTGAAGCAATTTTTTAATTTTTCATTATTAACTAATTTTTTTTATTTAATAACAATTAATAGACTGGTTATTGGATTCAAATAATGCTAATCTTGCTAAAAGTTATCCTTCCGACTTCTAATGTTTCTGGAAGATTCCTTGGGTCTTGGAGAGGAAAGAAGAATGATGTAAGCCATTTTAGATATTGAAAATGTTATTCTTCATTAGGTCATTGGATGAATGGTATTCCATGGTTGGCAATAGTACTGATGATAGACAACTATTCATATCTAGAGACAGTGGCCTTGGTGTGTCCTTGCCAAAACATGGAAAAGTATACTCCGTTACTGAATCACCATGTACATCATACGTGTAGTCAAATATAAATAATGCCCCTCATGTGGGTGGTAATACGTGGGCAGGAGGGAGACTGGGAGAGATACAGTTAGTTTAAAGGAAAGGTGAAACGGAAGTGTAAGGCTTTCCCTGAGTAGTTTTCAACCAAAAGTCCAAAACCACACACAGGTGTGTTTTATTATTAGATATTCATTTTTTATAACCACAACTGTTTCAGTTATTTTAGTGTTTTGTGAGCTGTCGATGTCATAATGACTTTGCAGTCATTTAATTAATTGACCACACCCCCAATTGTTATGAGCCGGCCCTAGTTTATTCAAAATTATGTAGCTGTCTATAGTGTAGAGAGATAAAGTGAATGTTTTCTTTGTTGTAGATTACAAGAGATAGCAATGAGTGAGTATGACCATAATGCATTCACACAATTGAGGGCTCGGATACACAAACAAGTCGAAATGTTAAAGGCTATACTGGAAAGCACTCAAGTATGTAAATGAAAAGTTGAAAACTCCAAGCCTTTGTTTGCAAATGTCTAAATACTAACCTAAAAATTTAGTGCTTTCTGTTACTTTTTGTAGTCAAAGAGTAGTGAGAGACAATGGCTGAGACATCAGACAGATGGAGTATGGGAAGTTGATCCTCTCTGATCCTCATGTGAATGTTTTTGCTATTTTTATTGGATCCCTTGATGACGTGGCTACAAGATTACAGGATTCCCTGCCTGCTGGACGATCATTTGTTTGCATGAACAATTCTAATCTACCTATCATAATAAGACAAGTCTTATCATCATCTGTCATTTAGTCTCCAGCTCTTAGTTATTATGTTATTAGAGATCATTCATAGTGAACTAGAATTTTATTTAATATTTTTAAGTGGGCGTTTTAATGCGTAAGTTGACTATTTACAGGTATACTATTTCCTTAACTGAGGCTGGGTTTAACAGCAATGCAAAACGCATCATTTTTAAAACGATGCACTTTGAACACCATTTTTGTTTCCATAGAGTCCTATCAAGATTGTATCACGTTTTCATTAATTTTGTTTATGCGTAAACAGAAGCATCAAAACTATATGATTTGCATCGTTTTCGTTGCTGTGTAAACATAGCCTGAGTTTGGACCAAAAAAACTGGAATAACTTTTTATAGGAATGTGGGATAAAAATGAAACTTTCACCCAGATCAATGGGTTCTCCCTATAAACACCATAATGGCATATCAAAATTGCAAAGCTGACCTCAATGACGTTTTATGATGTCATAGTAGTTATTGCATTGCGAATTGCAGTGTCGCGGACCCAAATTCTTTTTCGATTATTTTATTTCCTTTTATAAAGGTAATTTCTAACTATCGCCCTTTATAAGACAGAGACCTATTGTTATATATAATTTAAAGATGAAGTTTTCTCGGCTAGCTATACTGGGAGTTATTCTCTTTTGCCTTTTCCTTTTTTGGTCATTAAGAAAGGACTGCAGAGACACAGTCTCGTCGCCCAGCCCTGACCCCTTATTAAGCGAAGTAGGGGGGAACCAGACTAGCGAAGACATCACAAAAACCCTGAGACGCATTAAATCTGTGAGTTTATTTTCATTAAAGTGGTGACTACCATCATTCATGAATGAAGTGAAGGGGGTAGATTACACTTTACCGGTCCCAAGCAAAATCGCCATTGTACTGTGTTTACAAATGAACCTTCTTATGACCCGTACCGTTTCTAGTTTTAGGAGCACCCAGTGTAGGGTTTAGTTTTTTAGGTGCTTTGACCTTGCTCTGATTGCTGGTACTATATAGTATTCATTGTTTTTTGTCTGTAAGGGTGCTAGCCATGCTACCAGAGGGTTGTCTAACTATTATTAAGTTTAATAGTGGTTACTAAGTTTAATAGTTTGGGTGTGGTTACTCTAATATCTATGCTATTACCTTATTTACCTATGTGCAAGAGTATATAATATCTAAAGTACCTATATCTATATCTTTAAATATTATATACTCTTGTTATGTGCCTGTCAGCAAGTCTGTGCTCATTTGCAGCAAACGGTCAGCAAGATAAGACTAAACTGCTGTCAAAAGACTTCTCTAGCAATAAGAAAGATTGGGAAAGTAGATATGCAATCTTTTCCTTGATATAAAGGACTCTGATAAGTTAATTGCAATTGAGAAAGCTTCGTGTACTGTAGCTAGCTGCATGCATCATGAGATCTATTCTAGGTGATGTTTCTTCTCTACCAGCAAGCCTAGGTTAACAAAGACAATCTTCAATATCATTTCTTTAGTGACTGCTTCTAACTATAACCAAGATAACTAAGCATACAGGATAGCTTTAATTGCTGCACAATGTGATAAACAACAATTCAAGATCTACTATATGATGTTCATTATAATGCTTTGCTTGCTCATGTAGCTGTACATCAATAGCATCATACATGTACACAATAGCTTGGCCTGGGGGTTGAACCCCTTAATGTTTTACATTTTTCTAGTTAAAATTATTCATGACATTAAAATGGAAGGAGTGAGATGTGTAGATAATTGAAT